CAGATTACATTAATGGAATGTGGGGGAGAGTGCTGATGAGAGGAGGAAGAAAGAGAGGAACAAGAAAAGACAATACAGAGCCAAGAAGGAAAACAAAAGACAAGAGAGACTAGAGTATGCAATACCAAACCAGTAGAAACCAGCTGTGTTTGGACCTGCAGTTGGTCGGAAATGTACCAGCAGCAGTCTGTCGGGTACATTCTGACTGGGATGTTCTCTAAACTCCACCTATATCTGCTGACTGGGATGTTCTCTAAACTCCACCTATATCTGCTGACTGGGCTGTTCTCTAAACTCCACCTATATCTGCTGACTGGGATGTTCTCTAAACTCCACCTATATCTGCTGACTGGGATGTTCTCTAAACTCCACCTATATCTGCTGACTGGCCTGTTCTCTAAACTCCACCTATATCTGCTGACTGGGATGTTCTCTAAACTCCACCTATATCTGCTGACTGGGATGTTCTCTAAACTCCACCTATATCTGCTGACTGGCCTGTTTGCTAAACTTCACCTATATCTGCTGACTGGGCTGTTCGCTAAACTCCACCTATATCTGCTGACTGGGATGTTCTCTAAACTCCACCTATATCTGCTGACTGGGATGTTCTCTAAACTCCACCTATATCTGCTGACTGGGATGTTCTCTAAACTCCACCTATATCTGCTGACTGGGATGTTCTCTAAACTCCACCTATATCTGCTGAATGGGCTGTTCTCTAAACTCCACCTATATCTGCTGACTGGGATGTTCGCTAAACTCCACCTAAATCTGCTGACTGGGCTGTTCTCTAAACTCCACCTATATCTGCTGACTGGCCTGTTTGCTAAACTCCACCTATATCTGCTGAATGGGCTGTTCTCTAAACTCCACCTATATCTGCTGACTGGGATGTTCTCTAAACTCCACCTATATCTGCTGACTGGCCTGTTTGCTAAACTCCACCTATATCTGCTGAATGGGCTGTTCTCTAAACTCCGCCTATATCTGCTGACTGGCCTGTTTGCTAAACTCCACCTATATCTGCTGACTGGGATGTTCGCTAAACTCCACCTATATCTGCTGACTGGGCTGTTTGCTAAACTCCACTTAAATAAGCTGACTGGCCTGTTCTCTAAACTCCACCTATATCTGCTGACTGGGCTGTTCTCTAAACTCCACTTAAATAAGCTGACTGGGCTGTTCTCTAAACTCCACCTATATCTGCTGACTGGGCTGTTTGCTAAACTCCACTTAAATAAGCTGACTGGCCTGTTCTCTAAACTCCACCTATATCTGCTGACTGGGCTGTTCTCTAAACTCCACTTAAATAAGCTGACTGGGCTGTTCTCTAAACTCCACCTATATCTGCTGACTGGGCTGTTCTCTAAACTCCACTTAAATAAGCTGACTGGCCTGTTCTCTAAACTCCACCTATATCTGCTGACTGGGCTGTTCGCTAAACTCCACCTATATCAGCTGACTGGGCTGTTCTCTAAACTCCACCTATATCTGCTGACTGGCCTGTTCGCTAAACTCCACCTATATCTGCTGACTGGGCTGTTCGCTAAACTCCACCTGTCTCGGCTACCTGGACTGTTCTCTAAACTCCACCTGTCTCGGCTACCTGGGCTGTTCTCTAAACTCCACTAACTATATATGTGCTGACTGGGCCTCTAACTACAAGTCCTCAGATATGTTATTCAGTACAGGGACAAATAGCTCTGTCTCTCTCACTCCCAGTGTTCACTATAGTGTCCTGGCCTCCCCCCTAGCCTCATTCCCTAACTTGGCTAAGTTCCTGTGTACTTTTTTCTGTTTCTTCATCTCGATTGCCTTATTCCTCCCTGGCTATTCAAGTGTGACAACCCTGTGACAAGTGTTACAGGAGAGGCTGTTCAAATGGAGACTTCAAACTGCCAAGTGCAAAAGCCTCTGCATTATAAAACGTTGTGTGCAAGGTATCGCTTATGTGACACAAACTCGCTGACAAATGCTTTTATAAAAGGCCTTAGGCAGTGTGATCAGGAGATGGCACATGTCTGTCAGAGTCATTCTTCTGGTAAGTGATCTTGTTGTCTCAAAGTTGATCATATAACTTTATTTGTTTTTCATGCCAGTCAAGCTTTGTGGTTTTTCACCCAAATATACCACTTTTGACCTTAACCAGACCCCATGACATAAACCATTCTCCACCCTGCTTTACAGCACAGGCCAAAGAGCACTATTTCAAGTAGTCTGCCCTAAGGACTGCTTCCAGTCTAAGTGCCAAGGCGTTTACATCTGTGGGATGAGAACGAATCTCTTCAGCTTTGCACAGCAGGAGTCCATTTGGTGTGGGTGTGAGGGGAGTGGTTACAGGTACCTGGATTACCGCAGGATTATGAGTTTACGGTAGACAACAGAGAGACAGGCAGTTCACAGGTAGAAAGAAAAGAGGGGGAGATGCACAAAGATTGTAAAGAGACAAACCGAGAGAAAAATATGGAGAAAATGAAGGGCAAAAATAGTACGAGAGAAAAAGACGAGCAGTATAAAGTATAAAGAGAGAAAGATAGGATACAGACTTTGAAAGAGATGCACGAGTTTGAAAAGAGCAAAAATAAAGAATCTGTCTGTGATTTTAGTAAATACCCTGGATAACTTGTTACAACCATTCGCCGCCTCGGCCCAGATCACTAGGAAATGCAATAATGTGTAGAGATTAATAATTTAGGTTACATTGATACTGATTCTGAAATATAGATGTCAGAATGCCTCTAGGTAGTAAGGACAAGGTAGTAAATATGTTTACCATGTTCCACAAGCTCAGTTGCAGCTCAGTTGCAGTTCCCAAATCTGGCCTGCAGAGGGTAGTGATAACACACACTGGAAGTCCTGCTCACCAAGCCAACCTAAGAATGTTCTCACTTTAATAGACAAAAAAGCGATCATGCGATAGTGAAAACATTTATTTCTCTCAGATGCAAGCCTCGCCTCGTCGTGTTACTTTTGATGGCAGGTCATTAAGAAGGATTTGTTTGTCCGTTGTCCGTGAACTCTGGGTACAGACACCGAATCACAGAGAACAAGCCAGAGTATCCGTTCATACAACACGCTGCCCCCTCCAGCTTTTAGAAGCACTAGGCACCATAGAATAAAGCAACTACACTGCGTCAGGTCTGAAACGCCTGACTGCCTTGTTTTTTACGCAGCCACTTCTCCCTCAGCCTCCATGTCCCTGTGCCGTTATCAGGGGAGAGTTGGGCAGAGAGACGGATCAGAAATGCCGGATGGTGAGACCCCTCCTGTGCTACGACCGGGTCTGTCAGATACAGGCTACAGCCAAAGCTCTGCCACGCCAATGTGACAGGAAGAACTCCACAGTGTGTCGACATGTCTGTGTGAGAAGCGCTCAGAGGGCTACACTGCGGGGGGGAATACTAGACACAGAACCTATGTCCACCTCACCACACTCCCCTCAGAGCAACTAAGAAGACAACTTAAAATCAAAAGATACACAGAGGACTTTTTGTCAACTGCTGATGACTCTTCTTTGTCCAACTTTGAATACTCATAATGGTCCTGCTTAACGGACTATTCCTAGTACATCTGAGAGGTCTTTCGTAGTCCACATGAAGGACAATTATTTATCAAATGTATAGGACAGTTTATGTCTAAGAGGCATTTTCTTAGTCCATTTTAGAAGATTCTAGGTAAAACGTAAAGGTCTCCTACTTTAATTGTAACTATTTCTGATTTCACGGACAGCAAACTGACATCTAGGTTATTGGTCGTCACCCAGTTAAACGTTACTCAGCGCACGTTCAAACGGGCAGTCTTTACTCGGGCAATTTATTTTCCGTTTGTACTTGATCGTACGACTGCAGAAGACCTGCTGTAATTGTACCGAGAAACGCGTCCTGTTGGTGAGCCCAACACGAAGAGAGACACGGATTCCATTATTGTCAATCTGTCTCCAGCGCTGTTGCGTTCACCAATAACCTAATCACATAGAAAGACACGCCGCCGTCTGGTTTCCTCGTTGCTCTTTTGCGTTCGCCAGCATTGTCATGGAAATGGGAATCCCCTGAGACTTGGACTTACGGACACACGGCACACGAGGCGACCGCATGCTCTGTTTTTGGCCGACCGCCAACTGAACTCAGTGAGAGACTGTAGATTGGGACACTTCCTGGTGGCCGCATCAACTGCTCTAAACGTAAGTACAGTGACGAAGCACACTACACCGCACCTACATGCTAATTCAACCGTTTGATTTTTGTAGCCTTTTTTGTGTTCTTTTCCACTGAATTGTAAGTTGCGGATGCTACAAATGAAGCATACTTCCCTCATGCTCTCCGATCTACTGCGACAATTATCTCCCACACGTTTAGTAGATCGTTAGACTAGTAGACAGTGTTCCGTGTTGCCAAACTGTGTGTTGGTTGGTGACAGGAAGTCACTGGGCGTTCCTGCTAACTATTGCCTGGCAACGCCGGATTGTTCTCAAGAAGAGGCTATGCCAGGGGCCACGGCGTTCCGTTGTGACGAAGAAGAAGAAATAACTCTGAACCCCCACACTCTGAGCCAAACCTGAGGCACACAATGTTTTCTCACTTTCCCAATTTCTCAGAGCACAAATGGCTGGGTGAAAAATAGTTTGTTGAAGTTAAGGAGATCAGATAAAGAACAGCTTTAGCTAGCCGGCTGGCTATGAAACTGCAGTCATCTCATATATCTGGTCAGCACCGTGCTAATGCGATGGAGTCATCGGAGATGAATTCCTAGAGGATATTTCTAGAGATGGTCTAGACCGAATGGATTGGCAACAATCTCCCTCATTGGAATTAGCTGTCATTGTTTCTTTTGCTTTTACAAAATTGAAAAATTAAAAAAATAACCCCAAAACACCTACGTTTTAAAATGCAAAATGCAAAAAAATCTTTCTGCTTTTTAGGGGCATAATCTTATATCTTTTGATAAGTCAGCCTTTTGGCTAACCCTATTTTACCAGCTAGGCTGATCGAGAACAATTTCTCATTTGCTGGGATTTGAACCCAGGAAGTCATACACCAAGAATGCACTCTACCACTGTGCTACCAACTGCTCCAATTTAACTACTCCTACTACTACTACTACTACTACCAATACAAACACAAGTATAACTACTACTACTACTACTACTACTACTACTACTGCTGCTGCTACTGCTACCAATGATGCTGCTGCTGCTGCTGCTGCTGCTGCTGCTGCTGCTGCTGCTGCTGCTGCTGCTGCTGCTGCTGCTGCTGCTGCTGCTGCTGCTGCTGCTGCTGCTGCTGCTGCTGCTGCTGCTGCTGCTGCTGCTGCTGCTGCTGCTGCTGCTGCTGCTGCTGCTGCTGCTGCTGCTGCTGCTGCTGCTGCTGCTGCTGCTGCTGCTGCTGCTGCTGCTGCTGCTGCTGCTGCTGCTGCTGCTGCTGCTGCTGCTGCTGCTGCTGCTGCTGCTGCTACTACTGCTACTACTGCTACTGCTGCTACTGCTGCTGCTGCTGCTACTACTGCTGCTGCTGCTGCTGCTGCTGCTGCTGCTGCTGCTGCTGCTGCTGCTGCTGCTGCTGCTGCTGCTGCTGCTGCTGCTGCTGCTGCTGCTGCTGCTGCTGCTGCTGCTGCTGCTACTGCTGCTGCTGCTGCTGCTGCTGCTGCTGCTGCTGCTGCTGCTGCTGCTGCTGCTGCTGCTGCTGCTGCTGCTGCTGCTGCTGCTGCTGCTGCTGCTGCTACTACTACTACTACTACTACTACAAATGCTACTACTACTAATATACTACTACTACTACTACTACTACTACTACTACTACTAATACTACTACTGCTACTAATACTAATACCTGTAGGACCGTCTGTCTCCATGATGTAGGACTGTCTCCATGGTGTAGGACTGTCTGTCTCCATGGTGTAGGACTGTCTGTCTCCATGATGTAGGACCGTCTGTCTCCATGATGTAGGACTGTCTGTCTCCATGGTGTAGGACTGTCTGTCTCCATGATGTAGGACTGTCTGTCTCCATGGTGTAGGACTGTCTGTCTCCATGGTGTAGGACTGTCTGTCTCCATGGTGTAGGACCGTCTGTCTCCATGGTGTAGGACCGTCTGTCTCCATGGTGTAGGACCGTCTGTCTCCATGATGTAGGACTGTCTGTCTCCATGGTGTAGGACTGTCTGTCTCCATGGTGTAGGACCGTCTGTCTCCATGATGTAGGACCGTCTGTCTCCATGGTGTAGGACCGTCTGTCTCCATGGTGTAGGACCGTCTGTCTCCATGGTGTAGGACTGTCTTGTCTCCTGCCACCACAGAAACACAGGGGGACAGTCAGATGAGCAATACTCAAGCTGCTCTGTAATCTGAGCAGGATTTCCATTTGACCGGACAAATTAACCTGAGGATTAGTGGATCTGTAAACCTGGACATGCTCAAGTTTATCTGACGCTGAGTTACGTGTGATAACAGTAACTCCTGCCTGACCACAGCCAAGGCACAGGCCAACGTGCTGATTGGCTGGCTACTGTATATCCACCTTCCACTAGTAATATTAACTGCTCAAGAGGGGAGCACAGGTTTCCTACACATTCCCTGAAACGCTGACTGAAACGTTTAAGGGACTAAGCCTCAAATGGACTGATACTGTGGACGTACACAAGCTACGTTTATTGAAGGAGCCCATTTGAAGGTTGGGTTTTAAAAAATATATACGGGAGCAGGCGATAATAGGTGTTCATTTATGTAGATCGTATTCCTTTTTAACACATCTGTTGGTGTTTGGTTGTAATCAAATCCAGTTTGCTCAATATTCAGAGGCCCAGTTTAATCAAATCCAGTTTGCTCAATATTCAGAGGCCCAGTTTAATCAAATCCAGTTTCCTCAATAATCGGAGGCCCAGTTTAATCAAATCCAGTTTCCTCAATAATCGGAGGCCCAGTTTAATCAAATCCAGTTTCCTCAATAATCAGAGGCCCAGTTTAATCAAATCCAGTTTCCTCAATAATCTGAGGCCCAGTTTAATCAAATCCAGTTTCATCAATAATCAGAGGCCAAGTTTAATCAAAACCAGTTTCCTCAATAATCAGAGGCCCAGTTTAATCAAAACCAGTTTCCTCAATAATCGGAGGCCCAGTTTAATCAAATCCAGTTTCCTCAATAATCAGAGGCCCAGTTTAATCAAATTGAGTTTATTCAATAATCAGAGGCCCAGTTTAATCAAATTGAGTTTATTCAATAATCAGAGGCCCAGTTTAATCAATTGAGTTCATTTAATAATCAGAGGCCCAGTTTAATTAAATCCAGTTTCCTCAATAATCGGAGGCCCAGTTAAATCAAAACCAGTTTCCTCAATAATCAGAGGCCCAGTTTAATCAAATCCAGTTTACTCAATAATCAGAGGCCCAGTTTAATCAAATCCAGTTTCCTCAATAATCGGAGGCCCAGTTTAATCAAATCCAGTTTCCTCAATAATCAGAGGCCCAGTTTAATCAAATTGAGTTTATTCAATAATCAGAGGCCCAGTTTAATCAATTGAGTTCATTTAATAATCAGAGGCCCAGTTTAATTAAATCCAGTTTCCTCAATAATCGGAGGCCCAGTTAAATCAAATCCAGTTTCCTCAATAATCAGAGGCCCAGTTTAATCAAATTGAGTTTATTCAATAATCAGAGGCCCAGTTTAATTAATTGAGTTCATTTAATAATCAGAGGCCCAGTTTGATCAAATTTAGTTTATTCAATAATCAGAGGCCCAGTTTAATTAATTGAGTTCATTTAATAATCAGAGGCCCAGTTCATTAAGAAAATCCTAATTAGACGCTGACTGTGGTACCTCTCTTAGACATTGTCTTCCAGATGGCCCAAAAAGCTGTTTGATATCCACTTTAACTGATTACCACATACCACAGAAGTGTAATAGGTGACGACTTTTTTTGCGACCTTACAATAGCTGTGCAGAATTATTACGACAAATCTTACTGCGCCAAATAAATCAGCATGTCACTCTCGGTCTGGCACAAGTGGCTTGATTTTGGTTCACTGCTGTGCTTCTATTAGCGTCTGTGTTTTCTGCACAAGTTGTTATGCAATAATTAGAGGCCAAGTATAAATACTCGATCTCTGCAATATCTGTACTGGAATTCATTACCTTACATAACACCGCATACTGTTGCTCACACATTAACCATAGACAACTAGTCTATATGAAATGGAATAAACCAATATTTTAGAGTAACACGTCGTCTTTAGTGTAATTCTGTGTAGTGCTAAAGTTAAGCAATGCAGTTCATCACAAATATTTTTTACACACCAAGTAGTCTGGAAATAACTATTCCCCCAAATCAAATGTCCGCCCCTCTAAGGAAACCAAATGGTCCATTTGTGCTGGTGATGTAACTAATATAATGGCATCGGTTTGATGCGGCAGTTTGGTTTGATGACACCTTCCTCCACAGACATAATTCCGTTACACTACAGTGGACACACTAACTGACCTCTTAACGGCAGTGGAGGGATTGCTTTTATCTCATGCTGAATTCAAGTGAGGCTTCAACACAAGTACAACACGAAGTACAATACAAAGATGTCAGGTTTTCGATGTTACGTCACCTTTAATGTGTCTACGACTTCCTGTTCCTGAGGGAAGATGAACATGTTTCGCCTGAACACGAGGGCGCCACCTGACAGGGCTATATTAAAGACCTACAAACTTTACATCAAGTCCCATGGACAGTAGCTTACATCCAACATGTTTACTGTCCGGATGATTTCAAACGGATGACATCAGACAAAACGTCCTGATGATTTCAAACGGATGATATCAGACCAACTGTCCGGATGATTTCAAACGAATGATATCAGACAAACGTCCGGATGATTTCAAACGAATGATATCAGACAAAACCTCCGGATGATTTCAAACGGATGATATCAGACAAAACATCCGGATGATTTCAAACGGATGATATCAGACAAAACGTCCGGATGATTTCAAATGGATGATAGCAGACAAAAGGTCCGGATGATTTCAAATGCATGATATCAGACAAAACGTCCGGATGATTTCAAACGGATGATATCAGACAAAACGTCCGGATGATTTCAAACAGATAGCAGACAAAACGTCGGGATGATTTCAAACAGATGATATCAGACAAAACGTCCGAATGGTTTCAAACCGAAGATAAAATCAGACAAAACTTAATGACCGATGACAAATTATTCTTCAAAAACAAATTTATTTAAAGGAGAACAAACTAACAAATATGAATTGGTTTAAACAATTGTGCATTTCAGTTACAATCTAATGGATGCATTTATCGCAACAGGAACGATTGGGAACATTCTGACAGTAATGTGCTCATATGATTTTCCTTTAGATGGTATGTAAAATATCACCCATTAACAATATGTTTGTGTTTGTCTCATTAGTCAACTGTTTATAGATGTTTGGACTGCCAGGAATAAAGCTTTATTGTGTTGATCATTCAGAAAATGAGACCATGTTGATGAGAATATCAAATGACACATTTTCAAAGTTCTATATCTTGGACTCGATTGTTGATGAGCAATGAATGTTGACAATACATCAACAGTCAGCTGTCGAAACATAAGTACAGATATATCTGTCAATTTTCCTCTACTATGTCTTTGCTATTCTTTTTTTAAAACATGGAGAATGAATAAGTGTGTGTTTGTACTGCCTGACAGTGTTTTTTATGATAACCGTACCTTCCTATCTACTTAGAGGTGAGCCTATCTACCTCCAGATGCTGCTCAGAACAGAGCGATATGAGAGGAATGGTGTCTGAGCGAAAGAGGAGAAAACTCCTCTGGAGGATGTTAATAGGTCGCTGGGAAGTTTCCGTCAGACTCAAATGAACCGTGCCTTTCTGTGAGAGCCCCAGGAGAGCAAGAAATAAAGACGTTTAACACCATTGTAGGTGAAGTGCCTGGTGAATGTTAGACACAGACACTGTTCACCGGTTGATGGTCAGAATTCATCAGAGGGGTACACGTTAAGCGAGTTAAGAGAGGAGTTTTACAAGGCCTCCTATTTTTATATGTTTTAATTATATACGTACATCTGTAGT